ATGCTGTAACTGCCAACCTCATTCAACAAATGTAAGCAACCACAAGCTGTTGTCAGGTGATGAGGGGAGCACAAGGGGAACAGAGAGGAGACTCAGCAATGAGGTGGGGAGACCCAGGACATGCTGTCTGGATGGATGGGTGGTCCTTCAGGGGTTTCCTTCTGGAATGGTCTATTCACATTTTGTCTTTCTCGGAAGTTTTGCTCATATGCCCATGGAGGGGTTTTCAGAGAAAAGAAGGCTCCTGAGAGACTCTTGGTGTCCAAGAATGGGTTTTCATAATTTGTCCTCATCCCAAAGGTCTGGCTGGGGCAAGGGCAGAAACGCTTTCATGGGCAGTGGGATGAATGCAGAAGTCCTCAACCTTCTTGCTTTGTCTCTTTCTCCTTTTCTGTTCAGCTGCTGCCAGCCCTTAACTCTTAACACTTAAAAACAACAATAGCCCTCATTTATTATTATTATTAATATGTTCCAGGCATTGCACAAAATGCTCTCAATGCATCGTCTCATTTAAAGATGCTACTATTACCCCCCTTTTAAAGATGAGAAAATTGAGGTTCATAGAGCTTAAGGTTAGGTAAATGTTGGACCCAGGTTTGGATCCAGAACTCTCTGACTCCCACATCTTTATTCTTAACCAGGGTGATATACTGAGCTACCTTAACACGAGACTTAGAGCCCTCCCTGGAGGGTTAGTCTGGGCAACCTCCGAGGTATGTAGATGTCAGATGGAATTTTGATTTAAGGATTATCTAGTAGTCTAACCCTATGATTTCGCCTATGGGGAAACTGAGGCATGGAGGGGTTAAAGTTCTTTGTCCAAGATTGCACATTAATGACAGGGTGAGGAGGGCATGAACCCACGTCTGGTTGACACCCGTCTGTTAGGCGTGCTCTCTCTGTTAGACTCATGGCCTCGCTAAGCCCCCAGTTCATCTCTCTCCACCCTCCCAACTTACCGAGGCGTGCTCCCTGGGTGCTGCTTAGCTCTCCTGGAGCATGTTCTGCCCCTCTGTCTACCTCGTTCCCAGACAAACATGAGCATTCAACAATTCCTCCCTCATTTATCATTTCGCTAATTTCCTCATATTAATAAACGTGAATGGTCAATTTCATTTATAGTTCCATTTTATTTTCATGGTTAATAAGACAGGCCTGAGTTTCAATTCTGGTTCCATGACGGCATGGCTGCTTATGTGAAGGCTCTCCTCCCAGGACCACCAGCTGCTGGCTTTGGAAGGCCCTAATATACATGGCACATAGGTGGTTCCCCAGCGCCAAGTTACATAGACTTTTCCACGGGTGCGTGGTCACGAGTGAAAAATAAGGCCAGTATGGAGAGGTTGCATGTTCACATATGTGTGCACACACGTGTGTGCATGCGCGCGCATTTGTGTGTGTGTGTGTGAGAGAGAGAGAGAGGGGAGCAGAGAAAGAGAGGGAGAGAGGGAGTGCTTTCCACGATGCTCTTTTTTTTTTTTTTTAATATTTTATTTACTTATTTGACAGAGAGAGAGAGCACAAGCAGGGGAAGTGGCAGGCAGAGGGAGAAGCAGGCTTCCTGCTGAGCAAGAAGCCCGATGCGGGGCTCCATCCCAGGACCCTGGGATCATGACCTGAGCCGAAGGCAGCCACTTAACTGGCTGAGCCACCCAGGCGCCCCTCCACGATGCTCTATTTATGCTCTATTCAATTCAAAAAATGGTCTTTGTTGCTCTCTTTACTTTTGGGGGGTTGAATTACTTCATGAAACAATGGTGAATGAAGACAATATTAAGGTTTTCTCAATATATAAGTTTGTCAACGTAATTTTTTAACATTTCAAAGATGGGTGAAGCCATGTCTGGGAGACCATGCTGTGGAGCAGCCTCTCAGCCAGTTCAGAATCTCCCTCCAGTGTCGGGGAGCTCACTAACTGTTTTTGGATAGTTCTCATTGCTAGAGACTTCTCTCTTATATTGACTTCCTCTCACATCTAGCAATTAGTCCTGATCCTACTATCTAGAGTAACACAGCCCCTCTTTCATAAAGTTTCTTCAAATATTTGGAGGGCCACCATGTGGGAGAAGGACGGGTAATCTTAGAGAGGGACATGTCTGGTTTATTCTCTCATATCTTTTACCGCACAGCCTCCTAGTAATGAAAATAACAACAAAATAGCAGTAAATAGCTAACATTCAGTGAGTGCTGATTTTGTGTGAGCCGTGGTTCTAAGCACTTTGCAGTTTACAAAATCATTCAATCCTCACTCGAACCTCAGAGGTAGAACCCTTATTAGCCCGATTTTACAGATGGAAAACTGAGGCACAGAGAAGTTAAGTAACCTGCCCATGGTCGTGCCACTAGTAAGTGGTGGAATTGGGACAGAAAACTGGGCAGTCTGATTCGAGAGCTTGCACTTTCATTTTTTAATTTATTTTAAAGATTTTTAAAAATTTATTTATCTGAGAGAGAGAATTCGGAACTCGATCCAGGACTCCAGGATCATGACCAGAGCCGAAGGCAGACATTTAACTGACTGAGACGCCCAGGCGCCCCCAGAGCCTGCACTTTTAGTTACTGGACATCTTCGCTCACTTCTCCTCTTCTCTGTCAAAGTTATTAAGATATAATGCCAGAACTGCATCCTGAACTAATATAGATTGATAAGACCAAAGTGAGGGGACTGTTCATCCCTCGGTTGGACATTGTGTGGGTATTAATGCAACCTAAGATAACATTTAATGTGTTTGGCAGCAACACCACACTCTGGGCTCATCCTGAGCTTGTATTAAATTCAAATCACCTACATCTTTTCTTTTTCTTTTTCTTTTTTTTTTTTAAGCCAGGTTACCCTATTCGGTGTTTTTGCAATTGACTTTTTGAATGTAAGAGTGGGACTTGGTGTATATATTCTCGTCAAATCTTTTTCTAGTGTAAAAAATAAAAATGGATTTGCATGTGGACATGGGATACAGTAATTTGGTGGTTTAGAGTAATGGGATTGTGGGCTGTATTTCTTTATTTTCAAAATTATTTCTTTTATGGCTGTCATGATCTTATTGTGCAAAAACTGGTAGAAGAAAAAAAGGACTTTTTCGTTTTGGCTTGTTCTTGCAGCTTGTTAAAAGCTTTATAACACTCTGGATCCATCTCTCCAGGAGTGGCTGTCCTTCCCAGTTTTGCAGCATGTGCAAATGGCAAGTCTGCCATATCTTCTTCTGAGTTTCTGGCGGCTCAACAGACAATCCCAGAGGGCAGGGATAAAGTACCACTGCATGCAATTCAATCTAGAGACTTCTTACAGTGAGTTCATGGATGCTCAGTAGCAGTATGTCTGTTGTTTCCAAGACTCTAAGTTGGAGCCCATTGCCGACCATTGCCAACCCATGACTGGTTCAGAGCTGCTGGTTGTGGGTTCTGTTTGGAATGAAGAGGGTCTACCAATGAACATTTCAACAGACATATACTGAGAACCAATACATCCTGGGCACTCTGCTAGGTTCTGGGGCTATACAGATGCAGGGGGCATGGTCCTGTCTTCAAGGACTTGCTGTCCAGTGGTCTGTGCTTACCTCAGAGGTACCTCCTTGAACCGTTCACCTGGGTCATGCAGATGTTAGTAGACAGCCCCAGAGGAAGTGCCTCAACCTGATGGACATCATCATGAACAAGAGGGACATTTTGTTTCCATGAGCACATCACACTACACCTCACGCCTGAATTTTCTATCTGAAATTCCACCTTTTCCAAGAAGTCTCTCTGTCTTAATTAAAAGGAAGATCTTAAAGGATTCAGGGCAGGGGTCTCCTCTTCTTAGTGTCATTTCCTTGTTGAAAAACTTTAAATGGCTCTACCAGCTCCTGACCTAAGCCTGGCCTCTCTGCCTGACCCACAGAGCCCTAGATGCTCTGGCCCCAACTGGCTTACTCAGTGTTGGTCCCTCCTTGGTCTCTCTCAGGCAGACCAGCTTCTACATTGGCCCAGGGCACTCCATGCTGCCCCCCTCTCATCCTTGCTTGGATTGCTCCCTTTCCTGGAATGCCCTCTCGCTCCCTTCTACCAGCCAAATCTTGCCTGTCTGGTCTCCAAGGCCCCATTCAAGTTCGCCCCTCTCCTGACTACTTCCTTGAGTGCCTCAGCTCTTGCCAACTTCCTTTCTCTGTGGTGAGAGAATTAGAGTCCCTACCACATAGTTCAGCATTACTGTGCATATAGTCTTGTCTTATCTGATGATGTTCTATGTAGGTAATCTTATTTCCCCAATGACGTCATGGCAGCACTTTTATAACAGGACCCACCCATGGATTTTATTCCTGCTGCACCTAGCCAATGTAGACCATGGAGCAGACACCTGAGAAGCATGTGCTGGGTTTTTCTTGTTGTTATTGCTTTCTTCCAGAAAGAGAATTAAAAGCAGTCACATTTTTTCTTTCCAGTCTTGCCCTCATCATGCTTCTCCATGCACCTTCTTTTCCTTCCATCCCAATTGGACTCTTCACCTTTCCTTGAAAATTCTCTCCTCTATCAGGACTTTCCATAAACCTACCATAAACAACAGCCTCAGCTTTGTGGTTTGCCAGTGTTTTGCAGCCTTCCCCATATAGGTTGCAAGCTTTCACGCGGGCTGCGCAACTCTGTCCCCCGGCATGGGGTCCTCTATCAGACGGGAGGCATCAGTAAATGATTATTGCTTTGGTCAGTTCAGGGCTCTCAATAGCCATGAGCCTGTTTTTCTCCAGGATTCCAATAGGGAAGGGGATGAAACTCACAGGAAATTGAGGCACCAAGCAGGTAAGGAGGGAGTGATCCTCTCTCTGTCCTGGTTAGTTGTCCTAACCAATAATCGTCTTGTACCCAGAGTCCCTTGATCAGGAAATGTTCCCACTCAGCACTGTGGGAATAGAGTCCTGGCTTTGCTCCCACACCAGACCCACTCTGAGGTTTCCCTCAGCCCCACCTCGGCTCTCACTCCCAGTGGAATCATACACATCTCTAAAAACATTTTCTTTTATTGACAGGTGAAGTCCAGAGCAGGATTCTGAGGCTTTCTGTCCTCCATGCTGCTCACCAGAAAAGGGACTGTGAACTGTAAGTAACTGTGCTTGGTGTTTCCATGCTGATTCAATAAGGTTATGGGTTAAGGACCAGCCTTGAACCTAATCTTTAACAGCCATGCATTGTGCAAGAGAAATACTCAACAATGAGCCAGTCAGAATGTAAAATACAGTGGACTTCTAATTAGATTAGGTCTGAATGTGACAAAGAAGCCCTGTAATATGACATCCTACTTAATTAGACTTTATTGATTGTGCATTAAGGTGGACTTGATGTGTTATGTGTGTCATGAGTGTTGGAGAGGGAAGCCCTTGAGTTTGCGAGGCCACCCGAGCCACTGTCATCTGTGGGCTAAGCTGGGGAGACTGTGAGAGGAGGAAGTGGACCAATTCATAGCCCACACTTGCTTTTAGACCTTGGCTTATTTCTCGGGAGGCGTGAGGGAGGGGAAGGAAGACATGCTGGTGGCTTCTGTTCTATCGGCACAGTGAGAGCCCCATTGTACGCTTTATGTGTCATTTTGGCTCTCCCACTTGGTGAAAGCCTACCCACCTGGAGGAACGCAGCCCAAGTCCGGTCTCCTCAATGAACCCTTCTTTGGTAACTCCAGCTAGAAGTGCTCTCTCCCTCTCCCGAAGCTCTACTGCATCCACACGCTAAGCGTGCCTCTGGCCTGCACCTTCCTGCGTGCCCCCCAGTGAGGCTGTGAGCTCCTGGAGGACAGTCTGGGATTCCCGTGTCTTCCTGTCCCCACAGCACCCTCCACCTGGTCTCTGCTCAGCAGATGTCAGCCGGGAGATCAGGTTGCCCTGGGCTACTTAGCTTCCCACCCTGCTTCTGGGGCTACCGGAGGCTGGGCTGCTGCCGTGCCCCTGAGAGTACATTGGCTTCCAACCAGTCCATGGAATTATAAATGATTAACCGTTATCAGCGCACATCTTCACCTCTGTGTAAAAATAGATTGACTGTAATGAGTATTTGAATAAATCATAAGAATGGCTGCCATGCGATCGTCTAACATCCTGCCGATGGCTGCCCGGTGAGTGAGCAGGGCGCCGGCCCTCCCGCCTAATGGCCTGAGAGTCAGTGCTGGTCGCCTCTGTGATTGACAGGCTGCCACTCCCAGGGCACCTACTCTGCAGCCCAGGCTCTGGAGTGGTCGAAGCCTAAGGGGAGAGGCCCCGGGAGGGGGGAGCGGGGAAGGGTGCCTCCCTCCATCCTGTTCCGAGAAAGCCTACCTAGGAGATGCGGCTGGGGGGCTGGGGGAGCCACAGTGGAAAGACCTTTGTGAGAATCATGTCTCCTCGCACCGGAGGTTAAAGGGACCTCATAAGTCAAGTCAAGTAGGAGAGAAGCAAGCTGAGCGTGAACCTTAATGAGAGTGGAGAGTGTGGGGAAATAGGTCTGCACATTCCCTCCCTGCCTCCGAGGGCACCCGGTGCCTTGCACTGGGCCACACACACCCAGGGAAAGCTCCCTCATGGGGACACGCTCTTTGACCTGCGCTGAGGAACAAGGAAGAGCAGGTTTCTCTGGGTCCCGGGATTCTGAGATGGGGAGATTCAAATGATCTTTCAGGGAGTGTTTGCCAAGGCTGCCTCAGGCATGAGCATCCTCCTGCCTTTTGGAGAGGGAGGAAGAGGAGAGGGGGCAGGCTCTGGGGGGCTGGGACCAGTTGAGGAGGGCATAGTCTGAAGTCTCAGCATGAAGACCAGGAAAGGCTGAATTTGAGAAGGAAACCACAAACATTCCATTTAATCCCAGTGGTGTTCCAGTTACTACGGCTGTGTAACAAGCCACCCCAAAACTTAGTGTCTTTACAATGTTTATAATGTGCATATTCTGTGAGTCAGGAATTCAAACAGGGCACCATAGGGACGCCTTGTCTCTGTTCCACTGGGTCCGGGACCTCAGCTGAGGCAAGTGAAAAGCTGGGTGTTGGAATCATCTGAAGGCTCATTCACTTATAATTCGGGGGGCTGATATGAGCTGTTGGCTGAGATGTTAGCTGGGGCTGCCAGGCAGGCCCGTGTGACCACTCCCATGTGGCTTGGGCTTCTTCAAAGCATGGTGGCTGGACACCAAGGGGGAGTACCCTGAAAGAGAACAAGAGCCAGGTGGAAGCGGTATTGCCCAAGTCAAGCAGCGTCTCTTCCACCACATTCTCTTGATTGGGGCAGTTACAAAGGCCTACCTCACTTTCAGGAAGGGAACATAGACATCCCTCCCACCATGACTCAAAGGAGGAGTATCAACAGCACATTAAAAGAGGAGCATAGGGATGGGATACATGTTGTTGCAATCATCTTTGGAGAGTACAATCTACACGACTCGTATTTGGCAAGTCTGACGTAGTACAGCCTCATCTATTTCCAAAGACTGGCTAAAGAAACCCCTATCTTTGAAAATCAAACTGCCCCTATCTCACAGAATGTCTGGGTTTAAAGCCCTCCCCAACACCCCCCAGAGGCTGGGCTAGGCTTCCTCCCAAAGCCGGACTCCCCAAGGACATGCTGGTGTTCAGAGGTCCTGCCATTGGTGGAGGCTACCACCTGATAGTCCATTTCAACAAAAGTTGGTCCATTTTGCAACTCACAGCTTGAAGTGCCAAGTCTGGAGGGGCACTTAGACCTGTGGCCAGAGATTCCTCAAGCCTAAGGCCCTCATTCCCATCTAGAGATCCCCATACCCCCAACTCAATGACCTTCCAAGCTGGGGGAGGTTTTGGCCAGAGATCCAGGCTTAAGAGGCTACTAGGGCTGTGTTGGGGACTGGGGAAGTCTGGGTAGCCCTTCCTATCTGACCCCACATCCTCTCCTCTCCTTCCTGCCCTTCTGCCACAAACTAGAACCTGAGCCATTAAGGGACCAGACCCCCTTTCCTTTGTCATTTTCCTGACCCGGATGTGGCTAAATTTTGGAAGAGAATCTGAGTGCCTGAATGCCTTATTGTGACTTAAGAGGATAGAAACAAAGCTCAAGCAACAAAAGAGTGGAGACAGAGCCAATTCATGTTCCCAAGGGGCTGAGATCTGAGAATGGCTAATGCCAGAAAGGGAGGGGGCAGGGAGGAGAAGGGTAAGTGGGCTTGGTTTTGATAAAAAAATGCCGGGGTTTGGAAATTTAGGTCAGGAAATGAATGTTTAATTTGGATAAATGAAAGAACAGATAAAAATGTAAAGCTCATTTGTATTTTCAAGGCTCCAACTTGGGGGAAAAAAAAGTTGGGGTTTGAAGTCCAAAAGCAAGAGTTTGGATTCCGACTTAGCACCTTCGTGATCCAGGCACTTCTGCTCGGTCTTCAGATTGCTCATCTCCAGAATGCAGATGGGATTGTATACCCTTCCCAGGACTGCTGTGGGGACCGAAGGGAAGCCAGCATGTGAAAGCATTATAGCCCATTCTTGGCACACAATAGCTACTCAAAACGGTTCAGGCATTCCTCCACCCAGGAAATAAATAAAAAGTGGAGTTGGAAAAGATTGTTTCTCTCCATTGTTCCTGAGAGGGATGGTCAAGAATATTTCCTTTAACTGTACCCTCCATAAAAGTTCACTCATAAACTATTGATATTTTAATAATACACATTAGCATCTTGCCCTTTGACAAATGAATATTGAATGAGCAATAAAGAGGCAAAAGAGTAACCAGGTGTATGGCTGGCTGAGGGGAAGCTGGGATCTTGCGTCATTGTCAGAGAGAATGCCCCTTTACCAGGCACCTTGTGACTCACCTCTCTCCCCAGTGACCCCTAGGAAACAGCTTTTAAAAAGCGCTCAGACTCCAGCCCAGCCCAGTCTGAGCAGGATTTCTCCTATGGTTTCTTACACTTGGCCGGAAGGGACTTGGGAGAAGAGAAGAGAGGAAAAGTCACAGAAGAGCTGTGAAAGGCATGGATGTTTTGCCCCCCCATGCAAAACACCTTAGATCTCCCCCACTCCCTCTGCCAAGGGTGCAGACTTCTTCCTGATACACGCTCTCCTGCTGCATAAATTGAAAGTCTGTAGACAGTGTGCCCAGCAGAAATCAGGCAATGAGCTTAAGATGTGTAGCCAGGGTGCAGGGGTGAAGAGCCGCTGGCTCCGGGGGGGTCCCAAACAGACCCGGTTCGGCCACTCGCCACTGACAAAATCCACAGGCAGAGAGAGGAGCAATGGGGAAACAAGAAAGGGATTTATTTCAGTGAGGCCAGCCCCGGGAAGACAACTGGCTCACGTCACAAAGACTGTCTCCAAAGTGCTGAAAATACATCCAGGTTTATATCAGGAAAATGTGGGACAAAGGTCGGTGGGTATGTGCAGGTGGGCAGTGAAGGTCAGGTCGATCATTGTCTTGGGGGCAATCACTTGCTGGTGTCAGGACAGTTATTACTGCTTGAGGGGGTAGTCTCTGTTCCCACCACCCGTGATGGGATGCTTTGCCCGCAGGGTCGTTTGTCTGAGTTAAAGAGATAAGCTGGAAAGAAGAACTTAATCAATTAGAAAGTATGGGCTGAGGTTGACATGGAGGTAGTTCTCTTTCAGAAAGAACTCAGACTCATTCCACCCTCCTCTCATTCTTTCTGCTCCAGGTCTTGATGGGACCTACGGTTGGGGTGGACGGGGCGGGGGTGTGTGTGTGTGTATGTGTGTGTGTGTGTGTGTGTGTGTGTGTTTGTGTTAGGGTTTATAAGAATTTCCTGCCTCTTGCAGGTCCTGCTCCCAGGCCCACTACCATAGCCTCCAGTTTCTCATGGCCTCCATCTGGGCGGGGAGTCCTCGAGTGTGCAGAGAACAGTGACAGGGGCTCTTCGTTGGTCCGGCTTAATTGGTGTGATTTAATGGCGTTTCTGGCGGATTCAGATTTATACGGCTTTCTGAGCTGCAAATCTGCTTTCTAAATGTAGAATTTTTGTGGAGTGGTAAAAAATAATGGCTGTTCTGTGATTCCTGCCTCCCGAGCTAGGAGATTGCAATTTACATTATGCAAATAGACATTATGCAATCAAGGCACTTTAGCAGGAATCTGGCGGTGGCAGTGCGCCGCTGATGAGAT